CCCCCAGCTCAGCCTTTGGCTAGAGTTAGAGTCAGCATTTGGAGTGTGTGCTGTGAAGGAAGAGATTCACAGCACCTGAGGTAAGAGGGAGGAGGCTAGGCCTTCTTTCCCACCCTGCAGCTGTGGGACGCTTGAGACAGTGCATAACTGAACCGAGCTGCCTGTGGCAAGGCTAGGGGGCTTTTTCCCCCCACTGCGTTTAGGCTGGTGGGGGGTGGATTTTGAGGCTCAGCACTTGAGCAGAACCAAGTGGATGGGCTGATAAATCAGCTCGGTGCTTGGGAGAAGAGTCCCAGGTGAAATTGGAGACGAGCCAAGAGCTCGGGAGTTGCCTGCTGAAGCTGACCAGGGGCAGCTGAGAACTGACGTGGAGGAATGAAGATTCCAGGATGTGGATGCTTGATAAGCTAAACTACACTACAGCAGCCTACGAACTGAGGTGAGACACCGAGAGGGAGAAATCACCAGCAGCAGAAGAGCAAGGACTCAAAGCTATGTTCTTAGACCTCGTGAGGAGAGACTGCAACAAACAACTGCTGGAACTTGGTGAGGGGGGAGTGTTCGGGAGCCCAGAACACTCCCACGGCAGACTGTGTTACATATCAGCTTTAAAGGCTGCTCCTGGACTAAAGTTAAAGGAGGGGCTTGAAAGGACTGACTGATAATAATGTAATATATATATATAATTGCCTTTAGTTTGTATAGTATTTATTTGTGTAAATAAATGTATATATTTCCCCCTTCCCCTACAGAAGCCTCTGGCCTGAAAGTTCCTCTCTGATGTTAGGATACTGTCCTAGTTAGCACAGCTGAGAGCAGTTCATCATGGTATGGGTGTAACCCAAAACTGTGTATTCTATAGCCTTCCATGCCATTTCCCAGAAACTGTTGTCAAATAGACTATTCCCACCCTCCGCCCATAGAGCCTGACTCCTCAGGTATTAAGAGGCCTGTGAGATAGGAGGATGCTCTTACCTTTTATGGAACTCCCTGAGGGAAGTACTGACCATTCCTGCCTGAACTAGAGAATATATAAACCTGGAGTTTCAGAACTTTTTAACCACTCGTGGGATCCAGAGGAAGACTGCAGCTCATCGCTCTCAACCTCAGCTGGACTGCAATCACCGCTTCTGACCAGACTGCAACAGCTCTCCCACCAGCAGGTTTTTCCCCTCTCCCTTTACTTTGGACTCAAGCGGGGCCCAAGGAACACCACTTTGTTCAAGCCCTAAGGTACTG